CGGTTTCTATGGATGCGGCTCTTGTCTAGCTTGCAGAGAAACTAGCCAGAAAAAAAGACATATATCATCCTTTAACTACCAAAATGATAAAGTATTTTAGATTAAAGATCAACTGACCTGCTTTTCAAAAAATGTAGGGAGAACCACCAGATGCTTGCACATTAGGATATCGGAACATGTAAGAAACATCAAAAAAGGGATAGAAACACACAGTGACTCCGATCATTTTAAAACACACCATGATAGTGACCCTAAAAACACCTTCTTCACTGCTATTAAATTGATACAGAAAGATTGAATGGGAGGGGATTTTAATAGAAAAATAGGAGAAGAAGAAATTAAGTGCATCTATAATTTTAAGACACTTATCCCTCATGGTCTGAACCAAGATTTCGAGTTATGTCATTTTTTAATATAAAAATCTCTTAAATAAATACAATTTTAATTATTCAAGAACTTTTTATTATTTATTATTCATTCTTCAGCTTTTATAATTAATATATACAACCAGCCTTCCCATTATATTCAAACAATATGTATTTTATTTATAAAGATCCACCATTCACCTTCCTCGTTCACATTCTTGGTGGCTCTGCATTTTTTTAAAATAGTGATGCCTTGTTTTGACATTCTGTCTCTTTACGAAATTTATATAAGAAGCTCCTAATAATTGCTGTCTTTATACCTTCTCCTATATAGGTAAAAAGGTTTTGAAATATATACCATACCCCTTTTAATAACAAATGTATATACGATTACAATGTCTCTTTTAGATATTCTATCTCTCATTCTAGATGTTTTTAATGATTATTAAATATTGAATGTAATAACTATAATACCACATAATTTTATTTCATATGATTTATGTTGAATGGTTTTAGATGTATGCCACTATGTATAAATATATGTTCATAACGCTGAAATGTCAATACAGTGGGACCTCGGTTTACAAATGATTACAAATAATGACTTGATTTACAATTTTTTTTCACAATACAAAGCAAGTTTCCCCAGGATGCATGGCACCTAGGAGGTTTATAGCACTGCCCCCTGCATGCTGGAGCCTGTGGGTAGCATGTGGCGTCGAGTGTGGAGGTGTTGGAGCAGCTTTTGCATAGAGTTTTGGAGTCATCCTTGAAATTGTTTGCAGTTGTTTTGGGACTTTTTGGTGCATTTCTCAAGCTGTGGAAAGGTAGGGAGCTGAGCTTTGTCGTTTGCATGCCTTTTATTGTGTGTTCTGCATTGTGGGTTGGTTTCCATGCCAGCTCATTTTGACTTTTTTCTGACCTCCAGAATGGATTAATTGGTTTTCAATGCATTCCTATGGGAAACCACGTTTCAGTTTACAAATTTTTCGCAACAAGAAACGTCCCGTAAACCGAGGTCCCACTGTATATATATTTTTTGTTGAAATTTCCTGCTCACGAACAGTAGAAACGCAATATGCATTCCATTTAAGCCGATACCAATAAACATGTGATCAGACTGAATACACGTGACCGGACTACACAGAAAACCAGGAAGCAGAGGGTGAGACGCAGGATTAGTTTAACCACAAAAGACAGAGCATACGTGACCGGATACAATATGAGGAACCAGGAAGTTGCAGGTGGAACCAAAGATACAGTATTTAATTACTCTTCATCCTTTTACATCATGTCAACAGCATTCCGCTACTTAGGTCTAGTTCTCCGAAATTATAATAGACCACCAACTTTGAACTTTTAAATAAATTGATTCCTACTCTGTTCTTCTTTGATTCTAGCAAGACAGTAACAACCTTTGAGATTTATTGTTACTATCAATAGTAACTAATAAGTGTCACTTCTGTTTGATATTTACACTATACAGGCTTGCTATACAGATTGTTTCCCATATTTTTGGCCATTTGATCATATTGGGTTTTTCACTTTATTTTTATACACCCGTGCATTTTTAATCTTTTGTGACTATTACCCTATTTATAATAGAATATTTATTTAGATGGTTAGTTGTGTGTCATTTCGCTGTTTCTGACTTTAGTGAAAGAATAACAACCTTGAGATTTCATTGCTATCACTAAAATAAATACTATCTGTCAGCATTGATTGCTGTTTATATTTGTTATATTTATTGCTTTATGTATTCAGTCTGGGTTACACTTCATATGAGGATCTCAGCCCTTAGGTGTAAAAACCAGTATCCTTTAAGTGTATATTTAAATTTATTATTTTATTTTTAACTTATCATGTAGATATACTGTCACTACTCATTCTCCGTGCCCAGTTGCCGAACCTCTCAGGGTTAACAGGTATCGGACTCAAGCTCCGCCCCCTTGGTTTTGATTGGTTAGATTATTATCCAATCACTGAGGAGGGCGGGATATTTAAATGACCGCCAACTCCACGTTCGGTTCCCTTTGAAGAGCCAGTTCAGGCGAAACGCGCGTCGGGACTAGTTATTATAGAGGGTGGTGGAGATAGACAGGTACGATGCTGCATCTGTGATACTTTTTTAGCTCCAAATCAGCCACCCTTTTTGTTTATTCTTTTGACTTATCGCACTAGCGATTTTAATTGATTATGTCACTTGATTTATTTTTTCGTTTAGTAGACAGCGGACTTGAAAGGACCTAAGGGATTTGACTTAGTAGTATTGCATTGGTAGTTAGCAGCAGGGAGACCCTTTCACTTTGGAGATTTTGGCCATTTGTATTCAGTGTCCATTACCCCTGTACTACTATCGATTCTATTTATTTATTCAGTGTAAGTGTAATACTAGACTCTACATTTAGATATTTTTTCCCCTTTCCTCATTAGTCCATTTTTTTGTCCAGTTTTTTGTTTTGATTTATAAAGCCTTTGGCTGTTTTATTCTATGTGTATATATATATATATATATATATATATATATATATATATATATATATATATATATATTGTTTGTAATTTTAAGATTACCTATTAAAAGTTAGGTTTTATTTCGCTTAGGGTTGCTTTCTATACAATAGAAGCCCAATTCTCATTAGCACTTCGATACTCTATCTCTATCCCTCTCCTACCTTTACAAGCATTTTATCCTGTGTATCAATAAATTTATTTTGGAAGCATTTTCATCTCTGCTGCCTATCATTGGAAAGAAATATCTTCACTTCTCCAGAGTATCCATAAAGGGGGTTTAGATCACCCTAAAGAGACCCTAAGGAGATTCATACCAGAGCCAGGTTCAGTATATGTCTCTATCTTTGTGAGTGTGTTTTAGTTATACTGCCTTTCCTAATTATGTATTAAGATATCTGCACTATTATGTACCTCTCTATCTTTACAGTTACAAAGTAAGAAGAGAGAGAAGCATACTTTTATTTATTTATTTTTTTTTGCCTTAACTTACTCCACCTATTGTTTGTGTGTTATATATATTTTGGTAGAGTGGTTTGAGACATTGATTGGATCGGCATATAACACTTTGATAAGAGTTTTGGGGTTTTCATTGATTCAAAAATGTGTTTCATGTATATAGCTTTGTTACTTTTCCCCTCTTCAAAATCTTTTGAAACAAGTGATTTAACTCTTAGGCAATTAAATATCTCAGATTTTGTAAATTATATTCTAGCACTAGTAATGCAAATGTTTTAATTCTTCCCTCCTTCATTATATTATTTACATCTTTAATATTATTTTCCCTCCAGAGATCTAACTTTAGATAATCTATAAGAGATTCCAATATCTCCAACTCCATGAAGCCATACATTTTTCTATTATTTTTCATATTTTTTCTTAATTTGAACCATATTGGAAAGATGTGAGATAAGATCTTATTTTTTTACTTCTTTCAATACCTTTCAGATATCCTTTATTCTGCCAAACAAGTTTATTTATATTACTCTTATTCAATGACTGGGTTCCCAAGATAAACCATCCTGTTTCTCTCACTTCTTTTTTAGTTAAAATTTGAATATAGTGGACCATACTGACCTCGTAGTGTTTGACATTTGGGAAATTCATGCCACCTTGGCCCGGGCTATTTGTCAACTGGTAAAAGTTAATACGGGGTCTCTTCCCTCTCCACACAAAATTTCTAAACTTCTCTGAATAATCTCTAACCAGCTGTCTGGTATCTTTAGTGGAATCATTTAAAAAAATAAGTCCACTTGGAGAATATGCAGGTATTAATAATATTAATTCTTCCTAACCAACTCAATAACAAAGTATTCCATTTTTAAAAAAAGTTAGGTTTGTTGATCTAATCAGTTTCAAAACGTTATCTTCTACAATTCTATTTGTTTTGTCCAAAATCATAACACCTAAGTATTCAAAACTCACTTTAGCCTCTCTAAAGCCACACATATCCAATATTTATTTTTTTTATATTGGATATGTATGGCAAGTATAATAATAATTCAATAATCTAAAATATTTCTAATTACTACTGGTAATGTATAGGTTAATTCATTTTAAGGTTAATGCAGTTCATAAATGAAAAAGGGAAAGTTCATTAGAAGTCAGTATGACGTAGCATATTCTTGATGATGTTTATGCATTCTTGTTATTGTATTAAACTAAAACAAAATGGTGTAAGTTAGAAGTACGCAGCATGTTATGCACAGAAAGTAGGTGAGAAGTTATTAATTAAAGAAACATGGTACAGTTTAAGAATTACAATTTAGCAATGTATATTATCGTACAATTGCCCATAACAATAGTTTTTCTTAACTTTTAGAACAAACAAATTATAACCATGGTCCTTTATTACAATTTTTTGAGTTTGTTCTACTAAGCTAGTCTCTCCCAAAACCAGGTCAATTCTTGATAACAAATAATTATATCCAACAAATTATTTTCTTTCATAATATTTCCTAAAATTTAGATTGTTCTCTAGTTGATTATTTATTTTTCTATCATCTTTTTTTTTGTCTATTGCCGTATCCAGGACACAGTTGAAGTCCCCTGTAATGACTATAATTCCCATTTTTACGTTGTTTTTTTTTTTATTCTTTATTTTTTTCTGGTAATCAAATCATCCTCCACTTTACTTTTCTCTCCACAAGTCACAGAACGATTTGGGAGATATAGTTCAAGTATATATGCAGATTATTGGCAAATATTACTTTATAGTTCCAAGCTTTTAAACACACGTGGGCTTTGTACTTGCTTTTGTTTACAGTCTTCAAACATTTTTTCGCCACAAGATAACTTCCAATATTTCAAGTTTTTATCTGTGCAAATCTCCTCCATCTCTCCTTCTTTACTTGTTCTGGTGGGGAATATCAGTCTCCTATTATCCTGCAGAGAGCTTCTTGTTGTGGGCTAAGATCTCTTGCCGTGATCCCCTCAGACTCAGACGCCGCTACCTCGTGGTCGAATTCAGCCGCCGATCCATCAACCACCTGGACCCCATCTCCGGATGCGTGGTCACGTCACCCCTTGCTTGTCAGTTAAAATTTATAAACATACCTGAAAGAAAAAAAAATGTTAGTAGAAGCAACTGTATACCATGCAGGTATTGGCTGACCTATGTTATGCCAAGTGGCAAAACAATTAAGCTAAACAGGTGACTTGGGTACCCAACTAGTTGCCAAGTGGCGATTAGAGACTCTACCTATGATTTGGCCTAGGTTTGTCACCAAGTGTTGTAGTGGGGTGTTGCCCTTTTTGTGGCGTTTCACAAGATTGGGTAGGTTTAACGAGATTGAAAAAGTTGGCCGTGATAGGTGAGGCCTTAATTGCTTTGCCAAGAGGGAGGAGATGAGAGGAACTATGATTTGGCCCAAGAGGCAAATTACCTCCATAATAGAGGGTGGGAGTTGGCCTCGCGAGACAAGAATGGCACAAGAAGCCGAAAATCTACCTATAGCCATCTAGGGAACCCTAACAGACAGGTTGAACTAAAGGTAACGTTTGGTAGAGTAAGTGGTTGTTGTAAGAAGGTAGGTAGTATCACAAACTGAGTCACTTCCGTGGTGACTTAAAACACATGCGTAAAAGATGAAAATGACTAAATAGATATACCTGGCAGAATTAAAGAAAGGAAGAATAATAGAAGCTGATAGCAAGAAATAATTGAATAGAAGTGGAGTGCTAAAAGTGGACAGCGGTTCAATAATCTAAACACAAAGTGACATTAGAGAGGGTAGTGTATATAATACAGAAAGAATATTCAAACATGGTGGAAAGCAGCAGAGTGATTGCCTGTAAGGTAGATAGAATAAGAACAATGAACCCAGAACACAAAATATTGTAGTGATATCTCTACCATACAACCAAAGGAAATCAACATATAATGAAAGGTTCAGTTGATCTTATATACGAAAAAAAGCCCCAGAAAAACAAAGGGCAGTATGAAGCATTCGTAGTGTAAACTGACGCACAGACATATTAAAAACGTGTATAAATACACGCCATAGAAGAGGTGGCTAGAACAGAAAAAGACCTGAGGTATTTATCGAGAAACGAAGGTGCCTAATCACAAGATTGATGCATCGTGGATAACCAGCCGCAAGCCTGCAAAAGGTAAACAATGTGGTAAAAAAGCATATTATAAACATAACAGTGAGGACATAACAGCTTGATTATAAGCAACCATTGTATGCCTGTGTACATATAAACCTATACACATATATTTGCATATACATACACATTCAGACATCCACACACATCCACATATATAAGGGTTTACTAACAGAGTGTTTGTGCAGGCTTGGATGAAATTATAATAATGTCACGTTAGTTTACCCCTACATGCAAGACTTAGTCCAACAATCGACAGATAGAGCAGATACGACTTACCGGACCTTAGAATGGCCGGACTCGTCGTAAAGCAGAGAATAGACAGAGTCAAGAACAAGCCGAGGTCAAGGGAACAAAGAGACTGCGAGAACAAAAACTAGCCAAGGTCTGGTACACAGAAGTCAGTAAGCCGGCAAATAAGACAAAACAGGGATAGAGAGATAAACGGAGTCGGATACAAAGCCAAGGTCAAGCACGAAAATCACAACTGAACACAACAAGCGCTATGTGGGATGACAGGGGCCAATGGGAGCACATTTCATTTTTTGGCTCCCACTGCCCCTTTAAGAGCGTGCCCGAGACGCGTGGCACGCTCTTAGAGCTAGGCGGGACATGTGACTGCATCTCGCGGTCCGTGCCCGCCTTCATTCAAGAGCCGCACACGGCGGGAAGAGAGGACCTCGGCCGGCCCCCGGGTAAGGTAAGTACCGCTACAGTACCCCCCCATGAAGACACGCCCACCAGGCGGGGAGGACCAGGCCTGCCAGGAAAACGAGAATGGATGGAACGCACAAGGCGAGGAGCATGAACAGCGTCAGTGGAAAGCCAACTGCGTTCCTCAGGCCCATAACCCTTACAATGCACCAGGTACTGGAGTCGACCCCTGAGAAAATGAGAGTCAAGTACAGCAGCTACTTCGAATTCCTCATGACCCTCCACAGAAACAGGAGGAGGAGGACGAACATGCTGGATATAGCGGTTACACAGGAGGGGCTTCAACAAGGAGGTGTGAAAGACGTTAGGAATACGCAGGTTCTTAGGAAGATCCAAGGCATATGAAACAGCAAAATACGGAAAGGACCTATAAAACGGGGGGCCAACTTCATAGAAGGCACACGAAGGCGGATATTGCGAGTGGAAAGCCAAACCCTGTCCCCCACGACATAGGACGGAGCTACCCTGTGATGTTTGTCAGCTTGAAACTTTTGGCGAGCAGCGGAGTCCACCAAAGAACGCTGAACCTGCTCCCAGGTAGTACGTAAACCAGCCAAATGTTCATCCAGAGCTGGCATGCCCTGTAAGGAGAATGCAGCTGGAAGAACAACAGGATGCCGGCCATAAACAACGTAAAAAGGGCTTTTACCGGAAGATTCATGCGCAGCGTTATTACGAGCAAATTCAGCCCAAGGAAGCAGGTCAGCCCAATTGTTCTGATGGTGGGATACGAAACAACGAAGATACTGCTCTAGGGACTGTATAGCACGTTCAGCAGCTCCATTAGACTGGGGGTGGTAAGCGGAGGAAAACGAGAGAGAAATACCCATCTCTGAACAAAAAGCTCTCCAGAATCTGGAAATAAATTGGTTACCCCTATCGGATACAATTGATACAGGAATGCCATGCAAACAAAACACCTCCCTGGCGAAGATAGAAACAAGTTCCTTGGATGAGGGCAATTTGACAAGAGACACAAAATGAGCCATCTTAGAAAATCGATCCACTATCATCAGGATGACTGTTTTGCCATTCAAAGGAGGCAATTCAACAATGAAATCCATGGATAGATTGGACCAAGGCCTCTCGGGTATGGGCAACGGGTGCAACAACCCACAAGGAACTCTATGAGAAGACTTCATACAGGCACAAGTAGTACATGCCCAAACGTAATCGGTGATATCCTTGCGTAAGGAAGCCCACCAAAAATATTTAGAAACTGCTGTTAAGGTTTTAGTAAGACCAGGATGTCCAGCAGTTTTGGCGTCATGATATAACGACATAATATCCCGTCTTTCGGGAACATCAACAAACAGTTTATCAGTAGGTTTCTCACTGGGTGCCATGTTTTGTTTAGCCTGTATAACTTGTAAGAGTGAAGAAGAAATAGATAGAACTGTAGTAGCTATTATTCTGTCCGGGGGAATGACAGGGGTATTATCAAACTCTTATTTGTCGGTAGTTTCGAATTGTCTAGACAGAGCGTCAGCTTTAGTGTTACGATCACCTGGTCTGTAGGTGATGATATAATTGAAATGAGATAAGAACAGTGACCACCTGGCCTGCCTAGAAGACAATCTTTTGGCTTCACTAAGGTAGGAAAGGTTTTTGTGATCCGTAAAAATGAGGATGGGGTCTTTAGTACCTTCTAAAAGATGTCTCCACTCCTTGAGTGCTAAAACAATAGCAAGGAGTTCTCGATTGCCTATGTCATAGTTCTTTTCGGCTTTGGTCATCTGTTTGGAAAAGAAGCCACAAGGATGTAATGGCTTATCAGGTGATTCTCTTTGAGATAAGACAGCACCTACCCCAATATCCGAAGCATCAACTTCAAGAATATAAGGCAAAGAAGAGACAGGATGCTGTAAAATAGGAGCAGAGGCAAATGCGGTTTTAAGAAATTCAAAGGCCTCAAGTGCCTCTGGGGACCAGACACGAGTATTGCCATCCTTTTTAGTCATGCGTGTTATAGGCGCTACAATAGAAGAAAATCCTTTAATAAAGCGTCTATGATAGTTAGAAAACCCAAGAAAACGCTGAATGGCTTTCAGACCCTTAGGTAAAGGCCATTCCATGACAGCAGAAAGCTTCTGGGGATCCATACGAAAACCTTTAGCAGAAATTACATAACCTAAAAACTGTACTTCGGATTGGTCAAATAAACAATTTTCTAGTTTACAATAAAGACCATTAACAAGAAGGGTTTTCAAGACTGTTTTAACATGCATGTGATGAGTATGTAAATCTGTTGAATATATTTGAAATGGAAAAATGAACCAATAAATTGATTATTTCTTTGTGTATCTGCCCCTGGCCAAATTAATGAAACAATGCGTGCACGCTCCCTTAAGTAATTCAAACCAGACACAGGTTCCAGGTTGTTGAATAACTTGAGGAATGTTTATTCAGAGGGGACAGCAAGTCCCTTTTAAAGCAAAATTACATCATAGGTACTGTAAGAGATAACATGGAATAATACATCAATAATTGGTTAGGTGTTAAGTGGTCTTCCTAATGCTCTGCCTACTAAGGGTGATGTCACCGGGACCATGAGGGTCTCCCACGGTTTCCCAGCGCCATCTTGCTGCACGAGGTAGTTAGTCGATGTTATTGGGGAGGAGGGGTTAGAAGCTTCTAGCAGCCATTTTGACTAAATATGCGTTTATAGCTTATATACTGATTTTTGTGAGATGAGTAAATAGACATTTTACTAAGAAATATATCAAGACCTTATTTCCACAACAGTCCCCCCTTAAAATGGCTATTTACCATAACAACTGCCACTGTCCCTAGCGTGTCCCTAGCTGCCTGCAGCTCATCTGTCTTAACAAGCATCGAACACTTCACTCCGTGGGTAACCCGCGGCAGCTTGTCCACCACATCTCCACACGTGAGACTTGCCCGTAAAGACAGACGCTTTCCCTACGCTATCCCTACAGGAATGCAGTTGTCTGTTTGAACTGATGGGATTGGAGGGGTGTATGTGGTGTGTCACATTCTAGGTCAGTGGCATCTTGATGTAGGAAAGTAGGGGTTACATCGACTATGGTCTTCCCTACTGTTTTCTGCAAGTACTTTTGTACACAAGGAAGCACACAACAGGTTGGAAATAAGAAAATGATAGTCATTATAAGAACCGCTGTTCCTACCTGGAATAGGGTTCTCTGCCAACCATTCATCAAACCAAACCATCTGTCCCAGGTATCAGTGACTCCTGAGTTCTTTTTTAATTCATCAGAGAGGCTATCTAGCTTCTCTATGGCCATAGTTACCTTACCATTGGGCCCAGTGTTGTCTGGAATAAATGTACATACGCCTCCCTTCTCGGCTAGAATCATATCTAGAGCCATTCTGTTCTGGAATGTCATTTGGGTGGTGGCTTGTAATTGTTCTGCTAGGCCCTGTAGGGCATCCCTGGTGTAATTAACAAATCACTGTTGATTATAATAGATGTAATTGATCCAATTGACATTCTTATTAGCAGTAATCATTGGAATCAAGGATTCAGATCCCGCCGCCACCTCATCCCTTGCTTTGAATTCACGGGGAACCCCCTTGGCACACCAATGGCATCAATGTATACATGGGGGTCAAAGCTCCCTCGGATGGGGGCTTCCCGTCTGGCTCTGGGGTGTACGTGTGTGTAGTCTAATACATTATGATTGCCGTCCGGGATGATGTGGATGGGCATTATAGCCTTGGCCAAGGTACATTCCCCCCACCACTGTCCTACTAGTTGGGACCTCAGCTGTCTATCGCCACATAACCAATATATGTCCCCAACTGTCTTTACGTGATTCATAAACAGTGTTATAGGCGGGTCGTGGTAGGTTGAACAATATCCAGATGGGAATTTGCCCAAAAATACACCTGTGTTCTTAGGTATTGAATAACAAGTATGATTACCTGGGTATACTGTGACCCCATCGGGTGGTCTGACGTGTCCTTGGGTGATTAGGTAAACCTTTTTCCATGATTCACATGTTGAGGAGTTAGTGGCAGATTGTGCATAAAGACTTAAAACGCATAGCTCTACTTCAGGAGGTAAACTTAAAGGCACTGTACCCAGATGGGGTCTGGCTCCTCCACATACATAACAATTGTGTGAGTTGGCATTATACCTCATCCATTCTAGCCACAAATTTGTATCTGAGAACCCATTTTCTACTGCCATTGTGTCTTCAAAGGTAGGGTTGGCTATAGCTACCATGTCATGTAGAGTCTTAATATGTGGTTTCAATGGGTTAATAGTCATGTGAGTGGCTCCTACCCAATCTGGTGAGGTAAGCATGTCTTGCAGGTAAAATGTCCCCAGTTTATTATATGAGCCACCTCCCCTCCAGTACATTCCCATCACATATTCCCCTGCATCCTTTGGACTAGGGTGCTCTATGTTTAATGTAAGTTTGATGGGTGTTGACCCAATAGGTTTACTTAAGGTCATTCTGGAGAGTAAAGGTTTTCCGTCTTTGTCAGTCCTGTCTAGTGCACTCTGGGGTCTGTAGCCCCATGGTCTACCCGTGTTCCACCCAGCCGCTTTCCATGAACTACAATGATGTCCCCAGGTCCCTACAGTCACACAAATGTATGGGTCTTTCTTGTTGGGTATGTCCTTGTATATAGCAGCATATTGTGTTTGTGGGAAGGTGCAGGCAACAATGTCACAGTAGTCAAAGGTGAAGGTAGCTACATCTGTGTTAGAAGAATTATACTAGAAAGTGTATACATGGTTATCTTTGGTTATGGCCACCTGTTGGGCCCATGCAAAACCTAGCAGCATAAGGAAACACAAAATACACAATAAATTCATGGTTCAGCAAGGATAGCTTCTTCTGGAGCAGGCACTTTCTTGCAATGTGAGGCGTGTATCCAGGAACTCTTCCCGGCCAGCTTAACTGAAGTAGCTGTGATTAGGAGCACTTGGTAAGGACCATCAAATCTTGGTTCAAGGGTGTGTTTCCTGAGAAATTTCTTGACCATTACCCAGTCACCAGGAAGCAACTTGTGTGTACCTGTATTCGACTCAGGATCTGGAATAGAAGAAAACACTTGGGCATGGATTTTGGTCAAGGCATGTGAGAGGGCAGTCACATAATCTACCATAGCGTCTGACTGGATCTGAAGTTGTTGAGGAAAATAATAGCCTGGGTGCTGTACCAAACAGAATCTCATAAGGTGATAAGCTATATTTTCCCCTAGGAGTGTACCTCACACTGAATAACGCTAATGGAAGACTCTCGGGCCAGGGCATATTAGTTTCTTGTGACATCTTAAGTATTCTGGCTTTTAAAGTGCCATTCATGCGTTTTACCTTACCACTACTTTGTGGGTGATATGGTGTGTGGAATGCAAGGGTCACCGTGTCAACGAGGCAGTGAAGGAGGTTCCTTGGTCACTTTCAATCACTTCTGGAACTCCATATCGGCAGACGATTTCCGTCAGAAGGTGTTTGGCCGTGGTCCTTGCAGTGAGATTAGCCACTGGGAAGGCTTCTGGCCATCCCGAGAACATATCCACGATGACCAGCACGTACTCATAACGTCCACTCTTTGGCATTTGGATGTGGTCAATCTGTATCCTCTGAAAAGGGTATTGGGGCTTAGCCAGGTGATTAGGTGCAGTTTTGACAATCTTCCCAGGGTTACATTTAGCGCATATTGTACAAGATCTACAATAATTCTGTGTCAGAGTAGTAATGCCTGGTGCTTCAAAGTATTTATCAATCAAGGAGTTCATCAAATGTTTTGACAGATGGGCTGGCCCATGAGCCCATTGGACAACAGCTGGGTACACATTTTTGGGTAAACAAAACTTAAGGTTGATGGTATAGACATCATCACGGAGAACAGCTCCCTTGTTCTTCCAACTTTGTTTTTCCTGGGGAGTGGCAGCTGCCTGTTGTTCCTTTAGAAGTCTGAGATCCGTAGGTAATGTCTGCATAGTGTAGCTAGGTACTGTGTTAGTAGCCACTCTTCTGTCCACTTCCCATCCTTGTCGTGCTGCTTCTTTAGCGGCTTGATCTGCTAAGTAGTTGCCTCATGCTTCCTCTGAATCTAGCCTTCCATGGGCTTTTACTTTTAACACTGCCACTTCTGCAGGAAGCACCAAAGCATCCATCAGTTCTTCAATGGCTGCCCCATGTTTTACCGGAGTACCAGTGGCTGTAAGAAATCCTGTAGTCTTCCAAATTAGGCCAAAGTCGTGTGCCACTCCCAGGGCGTATCTTGAGTCTGTATAAATATTGACACGTAGGCCTTCAGACAGCTTGCAGGCCACTGGGCTATTAGGGCCTGGGCTATCTTTAAACCACAGGGTGCAGTGCAGCAAGTTCTCTGATTGCACATCATGTGGGGGTGCGAGAGCAGGTAGTTGTAATTCCGCTCCGGCCTCTGGATTGATGTCCAAGCTGTACCAGTACTGTGCTACTCCCCCCTTGGGAAGTGGCAGAAGAGTGGCTGGATTCAGAGAAAGGCAGCGTTGAAGAGTAACATTGACAGGTAACAATAAGGAAGTTTGCAGTCGAAGGTGACATTGAGAAGAAGGATGCTTAGGTTGAACTTGCTGAAGGATTGCAGAAATGTCATGAGGGGCCAGCACTGTGAGGTGGTGACCAAGAACAAAGTCATTAGTCTTATCCAGCAGGGCACTGGCAGCAAACACCACCGGGGTCAAGCATGCAGGAAAAATAGCTTATAGGCCGCTGTCTGGAGCCATGTTTTTGAGTAAGGACACCGGAAGCGTGACCAGATTTTTCAGAGACAAACAACTTGAAAGGCAACTGGTAATTTGGAAGGCCCAAGGCTGGTGCTGATGCGATAGCCCTCTTCAGACTGTTAAAACAGACAATAGCATCTTCAGAGAGGTGAAAGGGTTCACTCCTGAGGGCGTCATAGAGTGGCTGCATGAGTTTTAAGGCTTCAGATATCCAGGACGTGCAATACGTGATGAGACCTAAGAAAGCATGCAGAGACTGGTGTGCTGCAGGCAACGGAAGATGCAGAATAGCTTGAACACGTTGCTTGGTGAGATGTCGGGTGCCATGGGAAAGGCAATGTCCCAAGAAGACCACAGAGGGCCGGCACCACTGGAGTTTGGATTTGGAGACTTTGCAACCTGCTTCAGCGAGGAAATATAGGAGATCCTCAGAGTCTCGTTCAGCAGTGGAGAGATCTGTAGCACAGAGAAGGAGATCATCAACATATTGGAGAAGAACAACATCGGGATGGGATTTCTGCCAAGGCTCCAGTACCAAAGACATAGCACGGGAGAATTGGGTAGGTGAATTTTGGGCCCCCTGGGGCATAACGGTCCAGGTATATTGCTGTCCTTCGTGTGTAAAGGCAAAAAGGTACTGGCAGGATGGGTCAAGTGGCACACTGAAAAATGCATTAGCCAGATCCACAACAGTAAAAATCGTGGCAGTCGGTGGGACCTGGGACAGAAGAGTGTGGGGGTTCGGAACAATGGCAGTGTCTTTGACAGTTACTTCATTAACGGCACGGAGGTCCTGAACCATGCGGTATTGGTCGGGTTGACCCTTTTCAGTTTTCTTCTTGACAGGGAAGAGAGGGGTATTGCATGGAGACACGTACTTGATGAGTGCAACTTTTGCGAGGAGGCTATCAACCTGTTTGGTAATGGCAAGAGTTTGTGCAGGTTTCAAAGGGTATTGAGGTCTCCGGTGAGGTGTTGCTCCCGGCAGGAGCGTGACCACAACGGGGGGAACTTTAAGGCGTCCAATGTCATCCGGACCAGTGGACCAAAGCTTTGTTGGGATCCGGTCTAGAGCACTGGGGGCATGTGGGACCCGTGAATCCCCTGTAGAAGCGGTTAGGTGTAACAGGATTGGGAGGGAGCAAAGTACTGAAGTGTCCTTCTGTGATAAGGGTGTGGTTAATTGGACCTGGCCATCTGCGGTGAAGGTTATGGAGGCTTGTAGCCGGGAGAGGACATCAGCACCTAAAAGGTTAATGGGACAAGTGGAGGAAACGACAAACCGGGAGAGGATGTGTGACCCCACATGGAGGAGCTTCGTGAGAGGGTTACTAAGGGGTGTACTATCAACCCCAACACAGGAGACATCGGTATCTGACAGGAAGGAAGGATCAGGCTGGTCTTGTTCCCTAAGGACACTACGGGCTGCACCTGTGTCAACTAGAACAGTAGTGGGGTGACCCTCTACAGGGAGAACAACAGTAGCTAAAGGCCCTCCACCCTCCCCTGCAGACACTGCCATGGCAGGGGTTGCTGACACAGGCTTGCCGGTTACCTATTGCAATAAGTCTAAATGAGCTTGGTCAGGCCCTGTGTACCGGTGGGAGGAGGTGGTAGGGTGGCTAGGCTGCATGGCAGGGCGAGCAGGGTGAGCAGGGCGGTTCTGTCTAGGTACGGGTTGATTCTCCTGGAAATCATCAGTATCAAAACCATCAGCAGGAGCAGGAGGGTAAGCACGGACTTCTGGAGGTGGTGGCCGGGCTTGGGTATATTCAGGAGGAGGGGGAAACTGGGGCACCGGTGGGTGAGGCAGTGAATGAAAATAGCCCGGGGAGGGATAGCCATAGCTGGTAACTTGGGGGTTAGTATACCGGGGAGGTAGCGGGCGGAACACTCTAGGATGTGGGCATTCCCTCCGGAAATGACCCGCTTGGTTACAGTTATAACAGGTTCTGTTTGTCGTGAGTGCCCTATCCCTGGAGGGGGTAGAAGGTACAGGAAGTTGTTGGGGCTGCTGTGTGTAACCCTGGGGGACCTGGACAGGACTGGAGACTGGTGCTGTTGTAGTAAACATCAGTGGACTAGCCCTCCTTTGTGTGGGTTGTAGAACTGATTCTAAACCTTTAGCTACTAACAAAAGGGTGTCAAGTGGTATAATTCAGTACTCTGGACGTGATAGGATTAACCCCTTACGAATGTGCTCCTTCAGACAAGCCACAGAGGCTGCGGACAGCATCTGGGTGTGTGCTTTATTATAAGTACTGAACCTTAAGTCTGAGAAGGTTTGAGTTAACCTGGAATGGTATTTCTCAACTGACTCAAGTTTGT